TTGAGATCCTCCCACCTTACCTTCCTGAGTGCTGAGATGACAGGTTTGTACCACCACTTCTGCTTCCAAGTTTTTTTTTTTTTTATCAGCATATACTAATTGTTCATTGTTACATTTTTTTTCTTTTTTTTTTTTCTCTCTTTTGCTGTGCTGGAGATCAAACCTAGGGTTTTGTGCATGCTGGGAAAGAGCTCTACCACTGAGCTATATCCTTTGCCCTTGACCTTTTTTGAGGCAGACTCTCTCACTTACTGTATAGCTCAGATTGACCTCAAACTCTTGATTCTCCTGTCTCCAACTCCTGAGTACTGAGATTGCAAGTGTACATTTTCATATACTTGTATTACATACTTCAATCATCATCACATTCACGCTGCAACCCCCCCCCCATTCTTCTCTCTCATCCCTGATCTCCATCCTCCTCCCTAATAGCCCCTATCTACTTTGATGTGTGACAGGGTCTTCTCTAGAAGCATCCATTTTTCTTTCGTTCATTGCTTTGTTGGTTTATTTTTAGTCCCTTTTTATCTCAAAAGGAATTTGAGATCACTTAGAAGTGCCTAGCAGCACTTTTGCACAGAATCTGTCAAAGGTGTTTCTGCAGAGTTCAGACTTGGTTTATCATTGTCCACTGCAGTGCTTTACTATTCGAGGGATGGTGAGATACACCAAGTTTCACACGAATTTGCATGTGGTCACTTGGGACAGTGTTTTCTTTGCTGTTCTCTGTCAATCTGCATATGTACCCATTTGTATAGGGAACTTATTTCTGTGGTATATTATTAATTGAAAAAAGAATCAAGGTATATAATAGTATAATTTGGCATGACTGATTTCTCTAGTCTCTTTGAGAATTCTAAAAGAAGAGATGACCACTGTTTGTAGATGTGGGAACTCTTTAGGAATTCTTGTTTGGGCTTACAGATGAAGAATTTAAGGGAGGGTCCTGGTTGAGTGTGAAAAAAATCTTGTCTGTTTAAAAACTGTTTATGATCTCACACACACAGAAAATTCACCCCAGGGCCATTGGAACTGTACTTTAAACTGCTGCTCCAAAATGGTTCCCTGTGATCTTTTTGTATTTGACTAGTGTTAGTGATTTCTGAGACCAAACATGACTTAGTACACTCTGCATTTTTGCCTTAGTGAAGCACTGTAATGTAAAGTAATCTTTCTACCTTTTCAGAGCTTTCAGGCTTTGATTCCTCCTGTGGGACATCAATGTAAAAATAAAACTGAGCTGTCTGGCTCTGAGTACAGATCTTCTTAATGGATGGTGTCTCTGGACCAGTGTTTCCAGAAATCAAGATCAATACATTTCACAACTCATCAGACTTTCATAACAGTTCAGCTTTGTTTTCTCTTACTGTGTGGAGTTGAAAGTGTTAAAACTTGGACATGCAATACACAGATGGTCACTGTGTCCTTTGTGTAAGGAACCCCTAAATACTCTCAAATTAAACCCTCTGACATTGTGCACACATTTTTTTTCCCAAGAAGTCCTTTGGATACCTATTTCAAGAATATCAGTAGAAAGGGCTGGTGGAATGGTTTATTTAAGTAGTAGAGTACCTACCTAGCAAGCATGAGACCTTGAGTCCAAACCCCAATACTACCAAAAAGAAAAATAATCTTGCCTAGCAGAAAAGATTATTAAAAGGCTCTGAATTTATAGAGAAAGAGAACTAGGTAGCAGGCAGATATAGGTGTCTGGGCTAGAACTACCCAGGAAGATCAGAATCTCACTTAAAACATCAGTCCATTATTATAGCATATATTTTCACCTCTTGATTTTGTCCTTTTGAGATACATAATTTTTTGTGTATGTCTGCCTTTTGGAGAATAGGTCATAAACAGAAAATGAATGGTTTCTCTTTTCCATCCTCTATATGTTAAGCCTTTTTAGTGGGAATGTACCAAGAGAGAACCCTTCTGTATCCTGCCAGGTCTCCCAGCATCTCTGGACACCTTGTTTTATGACACAACAAACTGTATTTGAAGAACAAGACATTTCTCTTAGGCTTTTTATATTCTGCATCACAGTTTGATAAGACTAATCTTCTTTGCCTTGTGCACTGTTAAATAACAGTGTTTTGCAAATTGTTTTTCTTCATGTTGGTCTCCACGTGTACGATTTTGGTTTGCTGTTAAGATCAACAAGAACTCTGGGCATTCTGGGCTGGCCTTTGCCTCATCTTCTCGTTTGTCTAGTATCACTAGTACTGGGAATAAGGTCAGTGGACCAGTTCTGTTCTCTTGAGAATAAGTGTATGAATTAATGGATCCTGTTGGGGAAGTGATGTTCATGTTTACTCAGTAACTTTCTCAGGCTCACAGTCTTGCTGTCCATGATGAAAGTTTAGAAAAATGTAGAGGTAGAATAAGAGAACAGTATCCAGCACTTTTTTCTTAGCAGAAAAGACTGCCAAAGGCTTTACCGTTCTTGTTTGTTTTGGCTTGTTTTATTTTTTGACAGTTGCTTCTTTAGCAATATGAACTTTCTAACTTTGCTGTGAAGCAGGGTTATTTAATCTCTAGAAGGTTGAAGTTCAGTCCCCTAACACCTTCTGGAGGTATTGTTGAGGTCTACTTAAAAAGATCTCAATTCTAGCCAGGTGCTGGTGGTTCACGCCTATAATCCTAGCTAATCAAGAGGTAGAGATCAGGAAGACCACTGTTTGAAGCCAGCCTGGGAAAATAGTTCAAGAGACCCTATTTTGAAAAAACCCACACAAAAAAAGGGCTGGTGGAGTGGCTCAAGTGGTAGAACGCCTGCTCACCAAGGGTGAGGCCCTGAATTCAATCCTCAGTATCACCAAAAAAAAATAAAAGAAAAAAGAAAATATTTTTTGGTGGTACTGGGTTTCAATTCTTAATGGAACCAGAAAGAGCCCTAATACACGTTTATCCTGGACAGTGAGATCTGCACACAAAGCATGTGAGTTGGAGAATTAAAAGTACATAGGCAGAGCAGCAAAGGGGTCAGTTTGGTCCTGGTGCAGAAAGGGATCCAGGCTAGTTGCAGTCCAATGAGTGGCAGTTTGGAGCTGTCTGTGAAATTGCTGGTTCTAGAGCTTATTTGGTTCTAGCAAGGATCACAGTTTAGCTTACAGGGACCACCTAGGTGCTCTACCTAAGTCTCATGGCCACTTCCAGCAACCAGGGATGTCCGAACTTCCTAATCTGGGCTGTTGCCTCCCTGCCCTTCTAGTCCATTCCCCTGTTCTGTGCTCTCTGTAGCATATGCATCTGTCTTCTCTTTGCTCTTCCTGAAACTAGTCACCCCCACCAAGCTCTTTTTCTGACTGTCTCCTACTTGGCTTTAGGCTGCAAAATTGATGTAACTTCTTCTAAAACTGGTCCTCATCTTCTCTTTTGACTTTCCCCAGAGCGTGGCTCCCATGCTTCCTTGCCTCTTCATCTTTTCTGCCTCCCACTTGTCCTTCCTTCCTTCTTCTCTGCTGGTCTTTTTCCTTTCTCACACACTCACCTCATCAGTGAAGAAAAAAATCACATTCTGCTCTGAAC